GTGAGGAGGGTGTGGTGGACAGCAGAGTTTGGGGAGGAATGGAGGAGCAGGGGACAGTGAAACGTGGAGGGCAGTGGACAGTCCCTGGCAGAGCCACTCAGGCCATGGGAAGCCGCAGCAGTGCCCACAGGAGCCCTGAGTCTGGAAGGGCAGCACAGCGTCTCTCAGGCCCTGCAGTGGCCAGGACGGCGGTCAGGACCCACCCTCTTGGTGGAAGGGATGCGGAGACAGTCCTCGTCCACCAGGAAGCCGCACGCCAGCCCCACGTCCGTGACGAAGTCCAGGTACTCGCGGTACTGTGTCTTCTGGCTCTGCCTCCGCGGGTACTTCCCCACGAAGCTGAAGCAGCAGCAGGGGAGGACGAAGAAGCGGCAGTGGTAGGAGGACCTGCAAGGACAGTGGCCGAGGAAACCAGAAAACCCTGGAGAAAAATCAAACGCGCTCGGCAAACACCCGCTGGCGAGCGTGCCCACAGCCAGCCCGTCAACTCTGCTATCAGGGTCTCCGTGGCTGGGGACCGCTGCATCTCTCCCCAGAGAGGGGCTGGGGGTTTGAACCACCAACCTTGCAGTTAGCTGTCAAGTGCAGAGCCTCAGTGCCACCAGGGCTCCCTGGCGGGGGCATTAGGGCAAAGCAGACAAGAGCCACAGTTACCCAATGTCGTCATCTACACGAAGAGCCAGCCTTCCCAACTGAGTGTCAAGGAGCAGCGCAGCGTGTCGGCGACACCGTCGATTCAGTCAGCCGTTCACCTCCCCGCCGTATGCGTGTGCGCACACAGGTCCCAGCCGTTCACCTCCACGACATACGTGTGCGCACACAGGTCCCAGCCGTTCACCTCCACGACGTACGTCTCCCCGATGTACGTGTGTGCACTCAGGTTGCAGGCATTCATCTCCACGATGTATGTGTGTGCGCAGACAGGTCTCAGCCACTCACCTCTAGGACATACACTCATCTCTACAATGTACGCTCATCTCCACGACGTACGTGTGTGTGCAGAGACAGGTCCCAGTCAGGCTCGTCCACCGTAGCCAAGACCTTCAGAAGGACTGAAACTCCAGGGACAAGTAACGAGTGTCAGGGTCGGTACTGCAGACAGTAGCACAGGGTGAGCGGCCCACACGCTCCCCAAGAGCTCAGAAGTCCAGTAACTTGAGGACTCGCATGAGGACACCGCAGTGATGGATGCCCCAGCCACAGGCCTGTGGCCGCCCGGGTCTCCTGTGAAGGCAGAGTCTCCTTAGCAGGAGCAAATGTCCTGAAAGACACACCGTCCAGGGCTGGTCATCTGCCACAGGGCCCGGGGATGGGTGTGAGCAGATCGATGCTGGGAAGGAGAGTACAGGGCCGTCCATCTGCCTGGGAGACTGTCCAGTCGAGTACGACTCCTAGTGACCTGTGAAAGGAGCGAGCCCTGCCCTGTGCTGTCCTCACCGTCCCTGCTCCAGTCCATCTTGTTGAGGGTCCTCTCTCCTTCGCTGACCCTCCACCTTTCCAAGCACGATGTCTTTCCCAATGGTAACATGTCTGAAGTTTGTCCTCGCCGAGGGGAGGCGCACTCTGGCTGCATCTTCTCCCAGACCTATCAGCCTGTCCGAGCAGTCCATTGGGTGTTCCGTCTCCTCTCCAACAAGCTCAAAGGCAGCGTTCCTCTGCCAACCTTAGTCTGGGTCCTTTCAGATGCCCGCTGGGTCAGTGTCCTTTGGTCACATCCTTGCTCTTCAGCACTCTGGAGAGGTCCCAGACAGCAGATCTTCCCAATGCAACAGGTTTGTTTCCAAGCTGGAGCAGCCCTGTTTCTGGATGGGGACCCTGTAGATCGCGCTATGCTTCCCTGTGCAGCGCCTGAGACAGTGCTTCTGATGGAAGGCAGGCTGGCTGTCGGCACCGTTTCTCCCACTGTGTGCCAACCCCGTGCCCGTGCCACGCTCTAGTCACCCTCCCAGCACTCCACACTTGGTCCTAAACTTGCACCTCTGCAGGGGAGATGGAACCGACCCACGGCGACCCCTCAGTGGGTTTCCCCAAGCTGTAAACCACACAGGAGCCAGCCCTCACCTGGCTGCGATGACCGGGATCCAGGGAGTGAGCTCATCAGAATGGTTCCCAATTAGCCAATCCACATCAGGGAAGAGGTGCTTGTCCCCTGGGGTGACTGCACCTTCCTAAAAAACCACAAGAACGAGCAACGCTGTGACTGGCCTCAGCACTACGAGGGATGGGCACACTCCAGGTGCAACACACCAGTCCCAGTAAAGGACGCCAGCCTGGGAGGAGACGTGAGCTCTGGGGGGAAATAGGGTCTCAGGAGGGGACACCAGCCCCAGGAGGGAGGGGACAGTGGCCCCAGGAGGGGAGGGACACCAGGAAGGAGGGAACAGCGGCCCTGGGGGGGGGACACCGGCACCAGGAGGGAGGGGACAGTGGCCCCAGGAAGGAGGGGACAGCGGCCCCAGGAGGGGAGGGACACCAGGAAGGAGGGGACAGCGGCCCTGGGGGGGACACCGGCCCCAGGAGGGAGGGGACAGTGGCCCCA